AGCCCCATTGCCCTGAGGATTTGTTGGCAGTTAACAGGCTCCCTGCTTCCCTAAAGGTTTTTTGTTTGCTTGGTTTGGTTTTTCGAGACAGGGTTTTTCTGTGACTTTGAAGGCTGTCCTGGAACTAGCTCTTGTAGACTAGGCTGGTCTCCAACTCACAGAGATCCACCTGCCTCTGCTGGTTTTAAAGTCATGCTGGGATAGGGTCTCAGGAGATCCTCCCCCTACCTAAGAATGTATACAGTAATGGTTGCTTTAAGGAGAGGCTCACAAGGTCATGCCCCTTCCTAAGACACTTAAGAGTTGCAGAATTTTTTCTTTCAGTGGTGCCCCTGCCTCTGTGAGTAACCCTAATTAAACAAGCTACACTTGAATGAAATCATTTGTTTCTGTCTATCTGAGGTGAGATGTTTGCTCTTGTCTCCTTAAAAAAGTTCATGCAACAGTGGCTTTTTAAGAAGCCCCATCTGTTTTCCTTGGTTCCCTTATAAATTTCTACCACTAGGAATAGATAAGGCAACTCTCATTTCTTAATTTTAGTTTTTGTTCTAAACCGCTATATTTCAGTTTTTCTTATCCTTAAATGAACTTAACACATCAGTCCCAAGATCAGCCTCTCATTTTAAATGGCAGAATGTCTGTCCCTTCTTTGTGGCAGGACTGTATTGAGACTAGAGCTGAGGCTATGATACCATGCAGTCTTGCTGTTCCTGCCTCATGGGCCTTACAGGCTGGTGAGAAGCCACTGTAAATGCAGCAGGTAGCTCAGCCTGTGTGCAAGTCACAATCCATAGTAAGTGCTGGGGAGGTGGGACTGAGGTACTCTGAGAATAGCAGGAACAATTTGGTTTTGGTGGGGTTGATTTACAAAGCCTCCTACCACTGAGCTACATTCCCAGCACTTGTTTTGTAAAATAGGGTTTCTGTGTCCCCCAGGCTAGTCTGAAACTTCCAGTCCTCTGTGCTCTGGCATAACATGCATGCACCACTATTCCCAGGCAGAGAGCCTCTTTAATGACTAAAAGTGTTGTTGCAACCTAATAGATGAACACAAACCCAAGTGAAGACAGGCATCAAGGTGTTGCAGATAGAACACATCCGAAGACCATGACAAAAATGCCAGCAGCAGGTCAAGGTCAGGAGTGTGGGAAGGAACGTCTACCCATATCCCAGTCTTTACCATGGGGAAGGCTGCAGAGTGGCAGGCACCTGCAGAGACAGAGGGCGCAGGGGTGGGAACCGCTGCTCCTCTGCCTGCATCTGTGGTGTTTTACAGTGTTTCAGCCTGGTTTAGTGTTCTTCTGTCCCCCAGGAAATCAACAGCATTGCTTTTCAGTGTAACCTGCCAACCCCATGCCCTCCCTCTGCATGCCTGTTTCGGGTAAGTAAGGATGCAGAAAGGAGAGACTCTTGGGAGCTCTTTCCTAGCTATCTATATCTAGTTCCCACTGCTTGGGATAACTTGCTAATGCTGCTGCACATTGACAAAGAAGAGCTACAGTATTGGGAAAGGTTAAAAGTTGAGAAGAAAGACACTGTTTTTACTTTGTGTTATCTTTCTCAGGACCTGCCCCTAGCTGTTACCCATTGGTCCTCACATAGGTGACAAAATGTTTCAGTTTGTTCCCCCAAAGTGTCTCATGTTTTGGACAGCTTTACCATTTTTTCTCTCTGAGAACTCCTCTAATCAGGACAAAACTTTATGCACTATGAAACCAAGACACTTCAAACTCCAACAGGCCACTCTGGTTACTAAGATGAAATACACTCAAATGGCCTGCATTACAAGAAAGACACAGACAGAAAGGTATATCCTGCTGTTGTCGGAGGGAAATTCCTAACACGACATGCCCTGTGAAGGCTGAGCCTGACATCAGCCTTCCTTCTGCGGGCCTGAGAGTTGGCCCTCTCCTGAGCAGAGCCGATGAGAGGCGAGTTTTTAAAAGATGATGCTGTGGCAAGTTTGCTTCATCCTCAATGTGAAATAAACTGGTCTCACACCAGTTTCTGGTAGCTGATTGCAAGAAGTATTCTTTTTCATTCTCAAATGTTGAGCTTGTTCAAACTTTTTAAAATCCTTAAAATTCAGTTCAAAGTTTTTAAAAATAGTATTTTCTGAGATTATAGTAAAATCTACACTATAGTTTCCATTTGTGGTTGAATAACTTAGTTTCTTCTGCTACTGTGATAAAAAAAAAAAAGCAGTTTATCATCTTTGGACTCAGAGTGTGTAAGGACTCAGGATGCCAAGTGGAAGCCAGAACCGCTCTTTCTGGGTGGCCCCTCTGACCAGCCCGGCCCCTCACATGAGGGCTGCTGCAAGACATGCACTTGCTGCTGCACCCAGACAGCCACCACTGCAGCTGGTGTGGCTGTGGGCTCTGCAGTGGATTACACCCTGGGTCATGCCATCCCTGGGGGCTTCAGTGGAAATAGCAGTGCTGATCTTGCCAGGCCTGACGTCACCCAGCTGCTGGGCCAGCAGTCTCCAGGGCCATGCTCTCTTGAGATCAGTTTCTGGAATGTGTCCAGAACCAGAGTGACATCAGGCTCTGCGAGGGCTTCAATGAGGTGTTGTGACAGTGCAGAATTGCAAATGGTTTACTCAAAAAGTTCAAACTGAAGAAATTGAAATGGGCTCTGCCTAATTTACAGTGCAAGTGTGGACCGTGAGTAAAGAAACCTTATTTCTAAAGCTCCATTACTTTCAGAATAGCCATGAAAGAGTTCTAACTGTATAGTTATTCGCTCAACGTGTAGTGTTGGGGACTGGATAAATGATGGCCTCCTTGAACCAGCTGTATTGTTTTTTTGTGAGTTAATGAAAATAAAATTGTTTGATTCTGAGAAAAAAACAAAAATATAAACAAAACAAAACACTGGCTAAAGCCATTTGTTGAATAGGATTGAGATGACATCCAGTAGCTGATGGAAGCAGATGAAGTGATCCACAGCTAAGCACTGGGCTGAGCTCCTAGAGTTGAGTTGAAGAGAGGGAGGAGGGATCATATGAGCAAGGAGGGGTTCAAGACCATGATGGGGAAACCACAGTGACAACCGATCCAAGTTACCAGTAGCTTACAGACTCTGGATTGACACATGGGGAACCTGCATGGGACCAAACTAGGCCCTCTGAATGTGGATAATGGTTATGGGACTTGATCTGTTTGGGCAAGGCCCTGGCAGTAGGACCAGGACTTATCCCTGGTGCATGAACTGGCTTTTTGGAGCCCATTACCTATAGTGGGATACCTTGCCCAGCCTGATTCACGGGGGAGGAGCTTTGTCCTGCCTCAACTTGGTATCCCAGATTTTGGTGACAACCCAAGGGAGACCTTATCCACTCTGAGGAGTAGATGAGGGGTGAGACGGGGAGGTGGGGAGGAGGGAGAAGGCAAGGGAGGGGAAACTGGGGTTGGAATATAAAAATAAAAAAATTAGGATTGAGAATGACAGTTGAACACGTGTATCCTCTCAGAGGTTAGTTTGCACAGCTATGTTTAGATGTAGTGAAAACTTCTTATTTCCATCTCTTTTTGAGACTCGAAGTTCAATTGTTGCCTGCTGTACCAGAAGCAACTGGTCTCTTTGAGCCTGCTACAGCTATACCCTGTGCACTCACACTATACCAATCAGTGCTCTGCTGTTTCTATCCTTGATGATGCTATACTTAGGATATCCTACTTCATGTCTCCCAGAGGCCGGTGAATTACAGGTTTGTTTCCCAGAACGGCTGCTAATCTTTGTGTGGGAGGCAGCCCAAAGGAATACAACTTCCCCGCCAGAGCCCTAGATGCTGAACTTTGGTCTTACATGTGTGTGAGACAAAAAGGGGAGAGGGGGCTGGGAGAGTTCAAGGTATCCCAGCGGATTGACATCCGTAAAAGGAAACCTAAGCTCAACTTGGATGCAGCTGGTTTGAGGGAAGAGTGTACAACTGAGCCAGGGATTGCAAGAGATAATGGATCCCAGAGAGGAATAGCGAACACAGTTTTGTACTACTTGAATTTTCAACTGCAGTATCTGTGGGTCTTTCGCACTCAGTCTCTGTGCTGTGAACAGTACTGGCTACATCGTTGCGTCATGGCTTAATTCTGCGGCCTAATGGAACTCCTGAGAGCTACAAAGACAATCGGTGTGAGTTTCTGCCCCAATGGGCCTTTCTGGCCTCTTGGAGCAGCTCCACTCCATCAAGGTGCACCTTCATTCAGGGTGCAGTGGGGGATGTGAACTAGATCCGCGAAAATGTGAGGTACCCTGGTCCAGCGTCACTTACAGCAGGGTTGGCTGAAGGTGGACGGGAGGAGGATTTTTAAGAAATCTCCCTGTCAGTAGTGTTTATAGACAGAAGTAACACCTTGCCTTAGTGACTCTGCTCGAAATGTTTTCCGAGCTTCTGTCTTCAGATGGCTTTGTATGATTTTATGAGAGTTGGAAGACAGGCGTGGCTGAAGCTGCTTTTTCCCTCAAGGAAGATGAGTATGGTAATTCATCGCTTTACACTGAGAATCACAAGACACAGTTGCATTAGGGCGAGGCCTGACCAGCCACGACCGTCTCACCGCTAAGAGTCGCCAGGATTCCCCGCGGCAGCAGTGCCCTGCTGTCCACTCACGCTCCAGTGGCTGCTTGGGAGGCAGCTGCTCTGCCCAGCCCGGCCGCGTGGCGTTCTTGCCCACGTTGCTTAGCGACGTCGGCTTAAGGACGGTGCGCATTTCCAGATGTTCAGCTTCTGCGCTCGCAGCGGCCACCTTCCTCGGCGTGAGGCACCCTAAGTGTCCCCAGGTGAAGTATCCTGAGCTGGCCGCCCCCACTCTACACTCGGGGATCTGCCCGGGGCTCATAAGCCCTCCAGGATGCGCGCACCCCGGGAGGGCGGGTCTGGGTGAGGCGAGGGGCTAGGGGCGCGCAGAGCCGGGCGCGGGAGCCCCGGTGACGCACAAGTGACGTCGGCGGCGGCGGGCGGGATTTCCCGGCCCCTCCCGGCGCGGGAGGAGACCTGCTGCGGAGTGGGTGCTCCGGGGTGGGTGCGGCCAGCGTGGCGCAGCAGGCTAGGGTTGGGGGTCACCGCCTTGCACTCTGTGGGCCCGCTGCGCAGACCCGGAACCCCGCGTGCGGGTGGCTTTGATGTGACTTGGGTTCCGCGCCGCGCCCCCTTCCTCCCCAGACGCGCACAGTCTTCTGTGGCCCGGGACCCCGCGGGCAGCGTTTGCACCGAGCTCGAGGCGCGCGATGCCACTTGGCCTGGCTTCCCCCCTCGAGCGCCGTGCGGAGGAACCAGCCCGCGTCTGAGCGGCACCGGCTGCGGTAAGTGGCGCCCGAGCCCCCGGGAGGGCGCGGCGCCTCGTCGGGGAACCTCGGCCCAGGTCCCTCCAGCCCTGTGAAAGCAGGTTTGAAATCAGAAGTCTCTGAACTGGAGAGACATTCTGGCTCCTGGCTCTTCTCTGGAGATGCCACGGCACGCGACATAAAGACCTGTGGTTCTATGTGGCGGGGGGGGGGCGCACACGGTGCACCACCGCGGGGCGCCTCCAGCCTGAGCCTCCCTCGTGTGCATAGGCAACCCAGGCCTCGGGGGACACAGCTGCCCCAAGATCGCGGCGGGCCGAAGCTTCTAGAGGACCCTCCTGCAACCGCAGGGCGTAGAGTAGTTAATTGCTGTCCTCTGGACGAGGGACGTCCCCAGTGCAGAGGCCCATAGGGGGTGGATGGCATGGCCACTGTTCATTTTGTTGGGAGCAGTGTTTTTAGCGGGGGTTCGCAGAAGCCCCCTGCTTTCCTGACTCCAGGACACCTGCCTCGGGTAGAGGGGAATGCATGGTGACTCCGGGTAGTTTGTGCCCTCCCTCCTGATGGCGACTGTCCCCGAAGCTGGTGCTGAAACGCGCTGCTGAACTCGAGGGGCATAGCCTTGGAAGAGGGATCTTTGCTTTAATTTTTAGTCGCCTGGGAAATAATGAGGCGAGATGCCAGTTATGGCTGCAAAAAGCGCCTTCATTTAGGCGAATCTGCTTCTTGTATTTTGAGCTAAGATGTGAGAATACTTCCAAATGTACAAAGTTTGATCGGGTGAAAGATAAATCCTGTCCTCTAGTCCCAGGGCTCTGTAAAGGCTGGCAGCCGGCTGGCTGGTATCTCAACCAGAGCAAGCCTGGGATGCTGTGCTGGGGTTCCAGTGAAAAAGCGTCACTCCTGCTTCCAGCGCGAGATGCGACGGCCCCCATGGCTGCAGCAAAGCACCCGGGCCGTGTGCAGGCTAGCTAGTTCTTCATGACCGGAGCACCCCCACCCTTTTCCTCAGGTTGGGTTACAAGGAGCAAGGCAGCTACTTCCTCATGTGGTCTGTCACCTGGGAGAGACCACCGTGGGAGGCACTTGGAGCTGTCAGTCTTGAGAAACAAAGCAGGCTGCTTGAAGCTTGGAAGCTGAACTTGGGGTTGGCGGATTTCTCTAGCCAGCCGAACGGCATTACTGAGAATACGGGGTGGGGGGGGACGCTACTGGGGTGCATTGCCAGCCAAGGGACTCTCAGGTTGAGAGAACTGTGACCATGCAGACCTCAGGCCCCAGTCCTTACTCTCAGGAATGGAGTCCAGGGAGGAAGCAATGGAGGGACTTGGGCAGAAAACTGCACTGGGAAGGAGGAACATTTTCTCATGGTGATCTGTAAGAAGGGAGCTGTCTCCTGTTCGTTTCATAGTGTTTAAAGAATGGCTGTCCCCAGAGATCCCAAATCTCAAGTGCTCTTCACCACTGTGGAACATCAGATGACACAGGGCCCTTGCCTTTGTCCCTTCTCAGCATCGCTGGCCACCTGGGGCTGAGAGTGGCTGTGTGTGTGTCTCCACCCGCAGGTACTCACACAGGGCACACCGGCTGTCTACTTACTGCCCTATCCTGTGCCAGCTCTTCGTGTATCTCACTTGATTCTGTCTTCAAGGGGAGGGTGTTGATGGTGTATATTAGAAGTTTTTTGGGGGGGTCTGAAGCAATGTCTGATTATTTTTAAATCTACATTCTGCTACCCAATCTTGCTGATTTCCCTTTTTTCTTTCCAGCATTCTTATTGCCTTTAGACAAATTCTACCATTGACACATTTAGTATTCATGTCACATTATTCATTCAGTTTTCTTAAACCAAAAGCTGAAACTCCTTGAATTCTACAAGAGCAACAAGACTGGGTAGCGAAGAGATTTTCCCTGAAAGTCAGACAAACCTGTAGGTGTCCAGGTAGGGAGGCAGGAGAACAAGCGGAGGGTCCTGCTACTAGAGGGCTTTAAGTGGCTGCCTAAAAACCAAGAATGAGACAAAGCCTTTCAAGAAACCAGAGGGAAAAGCACAAATGAAACACAGGGAATAAGACGGAGGCTAGAAAAGCCACTAAAAGATTCATGCGGAAAAATCGGGACACTTGTAAAGAGATGGGTTCTCTGAGCTGTGGCACCACTGTGGCAGCAGCTGGGCAGTCCCTGTGGCAGCAGCTGGGCAGTCCCTGGCAGATGGGATTGTGTGGAAGCAGTGATACTTGCCTCGCTGCCCAGCAGGAGTGAGGACACATAAGGCGTCGCGGGGACACTGTCCATCATGTGGCCTTGATGTCTTGGGTGTCTACAGGCAGCTTTACAAGGGCTGAGCCTTTCAGAGGCAGAGAGGGAGGCAGGCACCCAGATGAGCGGGCCCAGGGCTGGGGTCAGTGCTTGCTGGGGATGGGCTGGGTACATGATGAGAATGGCCTTGGTTGATCTTCATGTGACAATTGCAGGGTTGGGGTTCTGCAAAGCATCATAGTGGGGAAGTGTCTGTGGTGGGTGGTGGGGACTTCAACAAAGGACAGTGTGAAGAGATGACAAGTGGAATCGACAGAGAAGAGCGAGTGACTGAAGCCGGGTGTGGCTCTTCCCAAAGGTGATGGCATGTTCTTCTTTCGCCTCAGAGTTCTCTCTAAGGGCCTGGGTCAGCTCTCCCTTTGGAGATGTGCACGAAAGAGGTTCTTAGAGAAAGGAGAAACACTGTCATTGTCACTTGGAGTCTGAGGGACTGCTTCTTCCTAACACATGGGCATACAGTGCTCATGAGCTGTCAGCTGTCCCTGCTTTTGTGCCCTTCTCCTTCCCTCTGGGTCCTGCTAGTGTTGTGTCTGAGGCACAGCTTCCAGGCCTCCTTCAACCCCAAAGCTGTCCAAACAGGAGGATGTCCACATGGGAGAATCAAGAAGGGATTCTTAGAAAACAAGAAGGGATAATGGATCTGCAGAGGAAGTAAGGCTGGGCTTGACAGTGGCCCAGCTATCACCAGATGAGGGGTGACTGTGCTCTGTGTGGGTCTGGGAGGTGGGGCACAATGTGGGCACAGGCTTGGCGGGCCCCTTTCTAGTGCACAGCATGCACCACTCTGCATGGGGCCACATGTGCCCAAAGTGACTGTTACACCCCTAGGAAAGAGTTGTGCATTCCCTCTACCTACTACTGTTGGGTGCCTCTGATAGCCCAGGACCCTCACACACTGGTCGTCTGGGGCTCGTGCCTCTCTTTCTTATCTTTGAGGACAGTTGGACACGCCCAGGGTTTGTGTTCACTGTAGGATCTTTCCAGCCCAATCAAGAAGCCACGTATACTGCCTTGGCTTGCCTGCAGGTCATATGTGAGTGAAAACTTCTAGCAGGCGCTCACCATGGCCCAGAGCCTGGGGCATGCTAAAGGGAAGCGAATTGCTGATGTTCAGTTCTGTTCAACTGTCTTGGGGGAAATTCTCTCCTCTCTGCCCGGCTAACTTGCCTCTCAGTCACTGGGCATTTATCCACTGCTCCACCCATAGTAGTCTGTCTAGAAGGGGCATCCTGTAGCCCAGCAAATAGAGCCAAGTCCTGTAAGTATGTCTGGTGTCATTTGAGGGCAAGAGTGTCTGCAGTGGAGTGACAGACTCTCTGCCCCTCCAGGGCAGTGGTGGAGGTGGAATGTGGTTGAGAGGGTGGTGATGAGCGTGGGTGGAGAATTCCAAGCCCTTAGCAGACCTCAAGAGAAGAAACGAAGGAAAGATGGTGTCCTCAGAACTCTGTCAGGGGCAGGGGAAGGTGTAGATTTATGAGAAGGACTCACTCGGTGTCACATACTTCCTCTTCAGTTGGATTTTACCTGAAGGGGAGATGTTGGCATCTTCTGGAGGCCCCTCTCCCACCATGCCCTCCCCGGGAGCAGCTCAGCATGTTGCTCCTTGCCCCTTTCCCTGGCGCGCGTCTTTCGTGTCTCTTGTAGGCCAGTCCTTCGGCACATACTCAGTGCACACCCCCGTGAGCATGCCCACTCACCACTCTGCCATCCCAGGCTCCTTGGCCTCACCTTTCTCCTGCCATCAGGGGTACACGGGTGGCTGCTGTGTGATGCTCAGGTCTGACTCCCCCTCCTCCCGCTGAGTCCCTCATTCTGTACAGCTCAGTTGGGCTTTCTCACTGTGCTTTCTCAGCCCCAGAGATGATACAGCAGGGAACAGGACGTGGGCAGTGGAGAGCCACACAGAGCTCCTGCCCTCTGGATAGGCACCTCAGAGGGGGGATTATTCTCAGTGGAGTGCGGATCTCTCAAGGGAAAGCATTCAGCAGAGAAAACACTTCAAGCAGAAATGTATTTTATCAGATCACAATGATAACATACTCCAGAGAAAAGGTAGAGCAGGCTAACCCAGGTGGGTGGGAGTAGACCACTGGGTGCTGTGTTGTAGACTTTTAAAGAGGTTTGTGTACATATGTATAATCCCAAACCACGGAGGAGTGATGACTTTGTAGGCTATTTCTTCCCATGATCTTCTTGAGAAGCCCATAAAGGGAGTCAAGGGTGTGAGGTTGATCTGGCTGTGACATCTGCCACTACATTAATCTCCAGGGTTGATTTGACTGATCTGGCTGGCTAGGGGGGTGTACCCTACCTCCATCATGGCTCCACATCTGTCCCTCCTGAAGCTATACACTTAGGAGGTGAAGAGGGCTGCCTTCTGCAGTGTAGGAGGATGACTTTCTGCTATAGAGAAGGACTGTCCCTGGTCAAAGGTAGCAGCACACCCCTGACAGAACCTCCAAACAAACCCTCAAAGTGTCAAAGCCACTGGGCAAATGATAGTATAACAAACCAAAGTCTCTTGAGAACACAAAGCCTCTGGCACTAGTGAGATTTCCAGAGATCTACAAGGATGACACCAGCTGGCAATCTAAGCAATAGTGGAGAGGCTACCCTATAAGGCCCTTCCCTGATAATGAGATTGATGACTACTTTGTATGCCATCCTAGAGCCTTCATCCAGTGGCTGATGGAAGCAGA